CGTGTCTTCGTGTCTTCGCGCAAAAGTCACAACCCGCTTCTGCCAACGCAATGTAGTTTTGGCAGGATATGGGCATCGCTCGAATGAATGGCAACAAAACAGAATCGACGTAGAGAACCAGGCCATTTCAAACAAGTCTGGGCAGTCCTTGCACCGGGCCAGGTCAACATTCGTCACAAATGCTTCCTCATCCACTGGATCTGATGCACCAAAGCACTCCAAGGCCCCTACTTTGTACATGTGACGTTGTACTCCACCGGAGGCATCTCCATAGCTCGCTCCACTCCCGTCACCATCTTCACCTCCCTCATAGCCATCACCATCTCCATCATGATCTCCCTCCCTCTGCGCATAGCCATCACCATCACCATCTCCCTCCCTCTGCGCATAGCTATCACCATCCCCATCTCCCTCGCTCTGCGCATAGCTATCACCGTCCCCATATTGCCCTTCCTTCCGTCTCTGGTCCAAATGCTCTTCAGCGTACTGAGCCCCATTTCCAGGACCTCGTTGAACTTGCATCATGACATCATCGTACTTGCCCCCTGGGCCCGTCATCCCCCAGGGGCCAGGCATAGAAACCGTGGTCGTGGTCGTGGTCGTCGTTGTCGTGGTCGTGGTGGTCGTTGAGGCCTTCGTGGTAGTAGTCGTGGTGGTGGTGGTGGTGGTGGTGGTTGTCGTCGTCGTGGTCTTGGTGGTGAAAACAGCCGGGTTCACCCAAGCACTGTACCCGGGTGCCGTAAAGCACTCATCCACCTTGATCTGACTGCGCAAGTAACAAATGCTCGGGTCGTGGTTCTCCAAGATCACAATGGCATCACAACCCTTTGCTTCCTTGCATTTTCGCATGCAGTCCGCCGGAGAGATTGAGGGAGCGAATGGCTCGGGGTTTCCTCGGTGGTACAACAGGGAAAGTCAACCGTGAACCTTCGGACCATTTTGCACCTTTCAATCGCTCAGACAAGGCATGACAAGGCAGCCAAGGCTAGCCAAGAATCCCGCCAAGAGCTGTCCACCCCTTCCTGGTGCACAGTTCTTGTTGTTCATCACCTGCCAAACAGGCAGGCCGTGAACCCTTGAAACAGTCATGACGGTATGACGTCCATGCTGTTTCGTGAACAAGTTGTGAGAAGAAATATAAGAGATTGTTGAGCCTGGTGAGGCGTCACTTCGCGGCACAAGCCCCCTATCAAACCGCTTGAAGTTCCATCTGGGTGTCAACACTTTCTGACCTAGAAACCGGCTGACCACCCAATCATTTTATCAGGATTCTTCTCAAAAACCTTCACAACGAAAGCCGCATCTGCCATGCGCAGCCCTGCTGAGAGAGGCCTTCCAATCCCAAGGCGGAAGAGGAAAGGACGATGCTTGCTGCCAGCACGACCACCATTCTGGAAAGGTCTTCCTGCGTTTGGGCCGAGCCCACCCGAACCCGTGTAGGAAAGCCCGCCTCAGAGTCCTCATGAAACAACCGAAAGCCTCAAAATGCCTGCTTTCACCCGGCCTGGGATGGTAGGCCACGTTGTAGGCGGCACAACTGCCCTCTAAGCGAGGAGTGCAGCCATGTTCCCAAAGCACTTGAGGCCAACCATTGATAGAGCTAGCCCCCAATCGTTGGAGGCAGCTTTGGAGCCTCAGGCTCAGGCTCGACCGCCCAAAGGGACCCGGAACAAAAATCGTGTGCGTCTTGAGACCGAGGTGCCAAATGTCCTCTTGGAGAATTGCGCCACACGTCTCCCAGTTCAGGTTCCTTGGTGTTTTCTTCAGCACCCAACCCCACAACTCACCTCAGCCCAGCGAACGGTCTCCATTTGGGGGGTTTCGGTGAGATGCCGAGTGTTCGGCCACCGCCACCCCGCTCTCCCAGAGGAGGTGAAGACATTTCCTCCCTTAGGGGAAGCCATACCAAGTGAAGAAAGAAATACAAAAGAACACCATCTTGGCTACACACCCTCTGCTCTGTGTGTGTGCGCCTGTTTTCTCCGAATATGTCCTCAACCCTTTTTCCTCCTCTGGTCGTTCCCCTTTCCTCCTCCAAGCCAAGCCGCTTCAGAGCCTCTCGAGAGATCACCTCGATGGGACCATGAAGGCCCTCATTGCAGTTCTGGATGAAGGCTCGTGGAGAGCCCGAGGGCAAAATGGGACCCAAGCGCTCAGGGATGAAGACGGTGTCAGGATCCAACTTCACTACCCACGCATGGGCCAAGGCCTCGGGCATCTTTTGCACCTGGCATGCGGCCAAACACGAGCGCGCATATGTGCGCCAGAGAAAGCGGCAAGCACGCAAACAAAGCCCCCACAAAAGAAACTCAATTGAGTCACTGCTTAGTAGGCATGCAGGCTTAGGATGAACCATGAACCACTCACCAAACGGCCGCCTTCAGCCATATCTCCTTGAACACCGGGGTGTTCAAGGCCGTGGACCACCGGCCACCTTTGGCTACTCCGAACTGAAGCTTGGGCATCGCGATGGTCACGGGCGGCTCGTTCGTCGGCCCGAAGATGGCATGAGCGGGGCAGTTGAAAAGCCCTTTGCCCTTCCCCTGCTGCCCTAAGAGCAATGGCTTTTCCATGGCTGGTACTCCCATCACGGTGAAGCAAAAAATGTCTGGCATGGCGGTGGCCAAAATGGTGGGCTCTAGATCCTCTGTGGTGTTTTTCCGCGGGCTTGGATGGTGAAAAGCGATCACTGCCAACAAAAAAGTCAATGTGAGGCTGAGTCCTATGAGGCGATAGCGTGGGCTGAGTCTGGACTCGCAGCTCGGCATGGGGTCTTCCACCAGGAGCGGTGCCTCGTCAGAAGATTTTCAACCGCTGGCGCTTCTTTCACGGGGACGGCGTTCACCGTTTTGACGCTGCAACATTGACAACCAAAAATAGGAAACATTCTGAAACATGATGAACCATGTAATTCAAGTGGGTTGAAAAAACATCCATTGCACCACTTGAGGGTGATCGGGCAGGTCCTTCGGCGCCAAGGAGCACTCTCCGCATCTTCGTGGGCACTCTGCTTCATCTCCCGAGCAGTGTCGCTGTTCTCCCGTCGTGCACTCAAAGGGCCCAAAGGCATGTGTGTAGAGGGGTAGAACGGCATTGCGTCACTATCAGGCGCGGAACCTAGAAGAACTACGCCTGTGGACTGGCAAACGGCAACTGTTTGGCCAAAGTCCATTTGAGCTGCGGCCGCACACAAACGCATTCTGACGCATTCGATTGGGGCATCCCAATTGCCAGGTGTCTTGCCCAAAATGTGTCCTCTTCATCTCACTATGTGACGCAGCTCTGCTCGCAACATACTGAAATGGAATGCCGCGTCAAATATTTGATAGTACTACTAGTGGCACAAAAAGCTACTATGTTATGTGGAGGCCATTGGTATTAGGTTGGAGGCCATTGCTACTAGGAGCAAGAAGCTACTACGTAGCTGTTCCTTTCTGATTATTTGCCGTCACCTCCACCATGTGCATGCTGCCGACGGTTGTCTCGCACTGCTCATTGGTGAGCCCCAGAACCTGAAAGAAAGCACCAGGAAGCCGCAGAACCGGTGGTGCTGGGACACCTTGTGATGTTTTGCGACACTTTTTTCGTCCGTACTGATCTGCCTGGAGCGGGCAATCACGGGCATTCACCCAACTCCGGAATCCCACTCAGCCAGGGCTCCCCGCTTCAGAGAGGACCTTGTTGCCCTTCAAGGCCTGCACGATCATCTGCCTGGAGACCGGCTAAACATGCCATGGGGAGGTATGAGTTGACTAAACATGTGCGGATTCTGTGCAAGCTCCTCAGATGCATCACCCGGCACTGGTCCATGTGCCAACTGCAACTGGGACAAATGCATCAAACTGATCCTTGAGCTACATTCAGGTCAGCCCTGAGCAGCAAACTTTCCTGTGCCCGGTTTTGGCACCTGTCATCGTCCGTGGTCTCATAGCTGGGGCAAAGCTTCAGCCCGGTGACAGAGCAACTGCAGCCCGCTGTTCGGCCGGACCCGGTGGAATCTGATCCCATTTGAAATGAAAGGACCTCTTGTGGCGTTCAACACTCCAGTGTCCGACACAATTTGGGGGTTGCAGGGTTGCTGATTGCCTGGGGTGAAGTGCAGAAATTGACGACGTTTCGGCCCCCAACTTGCTGACCCAGTCACGCCCATGGGTGAGACACCCACCACCTCACCCAACTTGGACCAACTTGGCGTCCACACTGGCCAGAACGCACCTCCATCTTGCCCCTGCAAGTCACGTGAGATGTCGAAAAAGGCCAACGCGACGCCGCTGAACCCCGGCTCACGCGAGGGAAAGCTGAACTTTAGCTAACCAAATCTCTTCGCCGGACGTCTGTGGAGTTTGTGAGCGGCACCCCAAACTCGGTCTCCCGGGCACCGGCTGTGCGCCCCTGCCGAAGGCCCTGACTGAAGGCAGCAGCGCCGGTGGCCAGCGCTTTGCCAGCCTGGTGATGCGCCGAGCGCCATCCGTCGCACCACGTGACACGTCCTTTTGGGAGGCTCATACGCGTGTATACATATATATATATATAGCTGGGCAGGTGCGCACACACTGGCCGCATAAAGTACAGAGAAGTGTCTGCAAAAAATTGTCTGCATCATCCTGTATAATTACAGTACTCACTCATCACTGGCAAGGCCGCTTCCTTCCAAACCAGCAATAATTAGAGGGTGCTACTTGGATGGGCATGCACCCACAAACCTGCTTGCCAAAAAAAGAAGGCAAGAGTCTACCTACAGTCACCCGTCCCCGCAACCCCGGCTTTTGCGTGCCGACCTTGATCCTCCCGTCACGCTTCAGGCTCTTTCGCACCCTCAAGTCGAGCTCCTCACAGGAAACTCCACTGAGCGTCACCGTAGAACTGTGCAAAGCGCTCAGATTGACCCTACAATAAGCAGCATTGGCATCAGCTGTTACTAAAGGATGTCGGTGCTTAACCGTCGAACATCGTTGAGCCCTGGAGGATTAGAAAAGCGATTCCCAGTCTGAAAATTGTCTGTCTTTCGTCAACCAACCAAACCAAGGCCTTGAACTTGTCTCGCGGCACACACAGGGTCTTGACCTCGGCCGCCCAAGGGCGGAACCCGGGTTGCTATACGCATTTGGTACAAGAGAGCCACGAGCTGTTTCTTGATTTCGAAGTCCATCTCAGGCAATAGACTTCAATAGACTTCAGGACAACCAGGCCAAGGTTTTGACCTTCAAAAGTTAGATCCCACAATCCCACATCTCGCAAGGTTTTAGCGACGCCTGCAGAGGGCTAGCACCTAGAACCACCGAGCCAGCCACGCTGAGCTCCAGGCATTTGGCCCTGCCACCAGGGAATTGGGGTTCTTCAGGTCCAAGGTCTTGGCCTGGCTGAGCTCCAGGTCTGCCAACTGTGTTGTTTCGAAACTTCTAGCTCCACAGACTTCGAGGCACAAGGTGCTTCAAGTTCATCACGAAGCTGCATCACTCCATCAGGGGCTCAACCCAAAACCCCAAACAGCGCCGGCCTGCTGGATGGCTTCAACTCCCATGAACTCGCCCACCCTGGCCAGTTCAGTTGCCCCCATGGTCCAAAAGGCGCAGCATCCTCCATGTATTTCGGCTAGTTAGTTCACTTTTTGGAACCCGGCTAAGCAGGGAATCGGCGGAAGCAAACCTTCTTCCCTCCAAAAGCTTCACACCTCATCGTGCGGACAATCTGGTGCACACAGAGGTCCGCAGTGCCTCGTGGGCAAAATTTGCGGCTCTAAGGGAGACGGCGCAAATATTGACTATGCTTTCTACCATTGTATGTACACACACGCTCATCCTCATCTGGGCTTTTTCTGCTCCTACGTTGGTGTCGGAACTACTTCCTCCACTGAGATCCTGTCCTGCATGTGCCACTCACTTGAAGCTTATAATTAGTTGCAGATCCGCCAACCCTGGCCAAGGCCTAGGGCCTAGGGGCCTGGAGTGTGCCTAAGCACAGAAGGTTGCGACTTTGGGCATGCTTGTGGGCACAGTTTCTCGTGCGACTTTGGACTGTTTGTGGGTCGGCTCTTCCCCTCTCAGCGGATTTCGCAGCTGTCTGGGCCGTGCAAGTGGTGGCCTGGCGTCATCCCCATTCTCTGCTGTTTCAATGCGTCTTGAAGCTCGTTTTGGGGCCTTCTATCCCTGAACCTGGTGGGCAAGCGTTTCGGGGACATTTGGAGACAGGGCACTCTGCAGCCTGGCTTCAACCGTTTCTTCAACGCCTTCCTTTTCATGTCGGCGGCCCCCATGATGTGCAACGCGCGGCCGTGCGAATTGGTGTGCGCAAATTGAATCTGGCTGCCATACGTTTCCTTGGATTGGACGGAGGCATGGCACGCTGGACTCGATGACTTCTATCATAACCCTTGCGTGGTGGGGCACGAAAAAAGAACCGGCAGCACCAGGGAGTTAGACTATGCTGTACGAATGCTGCGGCCACAGATTGGTGGGAGAGGGCTGCCGCGCGCAACCAGTGCCAGTTGCATCTGCACACTAGAGACACAGTAACATGTAACAAGTAGATTTGGAATGCACCTCAGAACCCTCTGACAGCCTGAGAGCAAAATGTGCAATTCATCCGCAGAAGTTCCAGTACTGACAATGACCTCTTCCTGCAGGCGAGAAATGCAACCCCTCAATATGCTCCAAAAACTCTTCGTTGACACACCCAAAAACGCAAGTATTGACTTTTTTCTGTACCCAATACCGCTCTTCTCACCCGCAAACTTGGACTGCTTTGGGCACAACACCCACGAAGTTTCAGGCACGACTAATCCAGAAATGAATCAAGTCGTGAGGATTTGCGCCTCTCTAATGCACTTCAGCTACCCGCTGTCCTTCTCGAAAGTACGCACTTCAGCTATTTCTGCTACCTGGTCAGGTGGACTCAGATCAATGTTCTGCAGGAGGCATCTGCAGCTGGAGAGGTGAAATTTTCAGAGCCCGGGATTCATGAATCTTGGATATCAGAAGGGTGCAAAAGCATGCGGATCAACTCAAAACCAGCTCATCCACCAAACTATTCCCTTCGCAATCTCTCACTGCTAATATGTGGAGTTCTGGGTTTCAAAGGAAATGTGCAAAGAACGACAACATATCAGACACATACGTCCAAGCTCCCGGTTGCAAAGCTGGTCTGGCTATTATATGGCTTGGCGCGCGCCGGAACTTGGCCCCAAACGCGCTCAAGGTCCTTACCAGAATATTCGTTGAGCCGATCGACTTTCCTGCACGACACATGGTCACGAGGCGATGGGATGTCTTTGACATCACTAAGGTGGGTGCCGAACGAGCACCTATGGCCAACTGTGGACAGAAAATTACTATGGCACGATCACCCTGCGACAAGGAAGCCTTTGCAACCCTGAATGCGCAAGGACAGCATCTGCAAGCGAGTCAAAGCCCGAGGTTTTTCAAGTAGCGCACCCGTTCCATCCCGCTACACACCCCTAGGGCCAACAGACAATTTGCCTTATATAATCTTTTGGTCTATGCACTTTTGAGTCTGGCGATGACCTCCTTCTGACGGAAAACCGCCCGTCGCCGGACGGAGCCCTATTGTCCACATCTCTTTTCGCCCTCTCGGACAAGGTGCACCAAGGCCTCAGGTGCACCAATGCCTCCTCTGTGGTCAAAGGCTGTACCTCAAACAGTTTTTAAAAAATGAGACGGAGAGGCAAATGCTTCTGTGCGAAGAAGGCTCCCGGTGGGGGCACAAGCGGCGCACTGTTTTTTCACAGATGCCGGAGAGAGAAAAAAAGAAGGATGCTTCCTGCAACCTATCCAAAATACGTATGCGCTTTTGCCCTGACTGTCTCCCCCAGACAGGCCCTTGGCATATGCAACTTGGGCAAGGCACAAACTTCTGTCTAACCAGTTCCCGCCTTCTGTCTGTCCGACATCTCCGACGTGACCTTCTTGCCTTGTCAGCGTCTTGCGGGTGCAAAGGAAGGAAAAAAGGCACATCCAGCCGAAGACCAAAGTGGCACATTCAATGAGATCTACAGATGTCTACTCAGGGGTCTCACTAACTTGGAATCATTCTTGGTTTGGTAGATGCCATCTCAACCTGGACAATTCTTTCAATGACCCCTCCAGTAGTCAGGGGCCCCGCGAGCTTTGCGCTGGGTCGCCGGCAGCCTTGGCACCGCAAGGGGCTCATTAGAAGGTTGGGACTCGCACTCCCCACGCTACCCTTACCACACTTGGGAGGCAACTTTCGGGTGGCTCTCTCTTCTCTCTTCTCTCTTCTCTCCTCTCTCCTCTCTCCTCATCAACATCCTCCCAAACAGTTTCTTTTTCACCTGAGGTCAGTGCGACGCAGACCCTTCGCCTGACCCAAACAACTGATTTGGTCGTGACCAGCAGCCCAATATTCCTTCCCTCCCCTCCAACATTACATCACATGCCAGTTAAGCTACGCCCTCTTGTGATCACATGTCACACCATCTGGTAACTGCAAATCTTCATCTTCCCGGACTGGCATGCCAGTTTGGAAGAAGAAGGCAACCTTCCTGCCTCTCAAACTGTCATTGCAGTTTCATGCAAGTGCATAACAATGTCAGCTTGGACTCCAGCCACTTGCAAAAAGAAACTGGTTCTTATTGTTACCTGGTTGCCCCTCTCAAACATAATCCAAACATGGATAGTGGCTCCACCTTGGGCCCAACCTCCTTCCTGCTTCAATGCTTCCACCCAGTGAGACCCCGTCTGGTCATCGTCCCGGCACGGACCATTCGCTGCCGCTCCTTCAGCACCTCCTTCAGCTCCTTCAGCTGCCTCGCCTCCCTCTGGGACGGGCGAGGGCGCCACTGGAAAGCTGCTGGCGCCTGTCCAGGCCAGTCTGGGCCATGTCTTCAGCTTCTTTTCCAGTACCCAGAATCTTCATGGCCTTCATCGACGATCTCCGTCTCTTGCACCTGCCTGGGGCGTGTTTGACTATCTGACTATCTAATCTAGCCACTCACAAATTTAAAAGTCGTGAGCAAATTGCCCACTCCTCTAACTCATTTCACAAAACCTCGCACTGGAAACCAAGAGATGAATGGATTTCCAGAGGCACATCGGATCAAGTGGCAACCGGATCTCGGACATCTTTGACATACGGTAAGTACATGTAAGTACCTTATATACCAAGTGTCGCCACTTCTAAGGCGAGCGCTCGTTGATTGACAAACGGGCTCTTCCCTGGTCAGGCCAGGGGAACAGACAAAAAGAAACAGATTTGTTATCTTGCGACGCCTGTGATCAGCAGGTGCTTCCTTCGTATTGGGGGTACAAGTTGTTGTCACCAAATATCTAGTCGGACTTGTCATGAGCACTTCATTTGCCCATCCATGGTCGTGTGAAACCCATCCCTGAGCCCCGGCCGCTGCACGTCGAGGAGAGTCGCTAGGCTTTCCAGGTGGGGTCGGAACCTGACGAACAGCTGTGTTTTCGCCAGCACGCTTCGAAACTTGGAGGCCCAAAGGCCTCCAAGCCCCCATGGCACCCTGCCCATCCAACCGCACCGGTCATCAACCCCAAAAAAGCACTTTGGCAGCAATCTCGTGCCGCCAGTCCTTGGGAAAGGCGGCGCGGATCTCCGACACCAAGGACCTGACGCAAAAACGACGGACAACCTGTGTCACCAAGGCGGGAAGCCCTTCATGTCGCACTCTCGAAAACCTGCTTTCTATGACAGTTCCGAATGGTCCAGATGGGCATGCCGTTGGCATCGCCAGGTGCCAAATCGTCAAAATGCCATTGAAAAGGACAAGTTGGGAAGCACAAATGTATGCAAGAACTTTAATGCCGATGCAACTCCTCTCAAATCTCAAACATGCATATACTTAAGCGGCACTAACCACTTGATCTGATGGACAGCTAACATAAAGGAGACCACTTAGCTGTGGACGGGCTGCAGGCTTGGCCAGCCAAGTGCATGAGGAGTGCTGTGGATGGATCTTCTTGATCACACACATCACAGCAAATAAAGCCTGTGCAAACAGATATATATATATATATAATCACCACAAGCACCATACCTGCATTGCTCCGAAATGGCACCAATTGATCTGATGTCTGATGACAAACAAACTGCATGATCCAAGAATACAAAACATCTCAGCAATTCCCACATCGTTCCATACGTTACCAGTCCTCCCACAAAATGATAACATAAGATCACCCTAGGACGCTACTAGGAGCAAGGACGCTACTAGGAACAAGTGCATCGCTTCTAGTAACAAGTGCCTTACTAGTAGTAACAAGAAGCTATTAGTAACAAGTGCCTTACTACTAGGAGCAAAGAAGCTACTAGGGGCTCCTGGCATCGCTACTAGGAGCAAGGACGCTACTAGGAGCTTTTCAAAAGGATGGCTTCTTGCACCACAACGGTCCAAGCGCCCAACGCAGCAACTGGTTGGTCAACGGCAACGCCTGCAATGCTAAATGCAATGGTCAACGAACGAGTGAGAGGGTAGGTGCGCACTATGTTGCATTGCCGGCCCTGGGGCTGCTTTGGGATCAATCATTGACACTTGCACTTATAGTTTTGTTGATGTTCAGACCTTTTTGGTAAAAAGGCACAACAAAAGTCGGCACTGTTGCCATTCCACCAGCTCCTGCTTCGTCAAATATTCGCAATATGACTGCTGACTCTCTGCCGGCCTGCGCGTTCAACGCAATTTCGCTCAGAAAATCGAGTCATGTACCGTATGCTGCCCGGTTTTGCATGATCTGACTGCATTCCTCTCAACACAAACTGGGCGCAAGCATCGCAACTGGGAATGCTGCTTGAATTGTGCCACGAACACGGACACGGAAAACCAAGCCCCGAGCAGTTGGCTGCCAATTCCAGCGGCAAAACCAGCAACCTGGCCAACTTCAATCACAAAGGACCACACAATATGTCGGTGCCCTCGGGCCAAGACTCACCTCAAAGGTCCTTGGATGCATTAAGCTGAATCAGTGCCTCATCTGTCACGAGGTTGCACAACCGTTCCGACAATTCATTTGCTGCCTCAGTGGTAGTGCCAACAACTGCACAAACACTTATCAAAACGAAACCAGTGCACACAAATTAGGCAAAAACAGCGGAACGGCACCAAGCCCCAAACACTTTGAACATCTTTGGCAGCCTGCGCTAACGCTGAGCAAATCCAAGCCAATCACCACCAAAGCTTAAATTCAGCCGGCACTCCTTGGCGGCACGCATTTCATGGCATGGCCCTGACCTCAGTGGCTCACAATATTGAAACAAAGAAAGCCACACGACAACACGGTATGCAAATTTCAGAGCCCACAGCCTCAAGTGGCCACGCCCCAACCCCAAGCGCTTTTGTAAGCCAAAGCGTCCACACATGCAAAAGTTCCAAGACGAATGCAAATTCTTTGTCCAAGCAAGCAAGCAGTTTCTTGCGCATTGTCTTGTGCACTATCAAGCTTTGGGACCCATGGTGAGGAAAGGTGCTTCTTGTGTGTGTGTGTCCACTCCTGTTTCCAAGGACACTACCCTAGTTTTTCTAATCTATCCTACAAGTTTTTGTACAGATGCAGGGGGCATGGCAGCTGTTTCCCTAGCCATGCCAACAAAGCTACGGGATTCAGCCGGAAGGGAATGTGGACGCACATTCCTGTACCTGCAACGTGAACTGTTTTCAAGCTGTTCCACTGTTTAGTCGCTGAGATTTCTAAGTCAGTGCAACGCTGTCTCATACGTTGTTTCCTGCAGTATCTAAATTTAAAGGGCTAATGCACACCGCGAAGCTACCTGAAATCACGCTCCACGGAGCACCCTTCTCAAGTGTGT